CCGGCTCAGCTGCCCCCCACTGACCTCTGTCCTCGTCACTCCGCCACACCTTTGTCCGCCCCATCGACGTCCCTTCACCGCTATGCTCGGAGTAATCTTCTCTCCTGCTGGACCTGAAAATGTTGAAGATTGACGTGAACGAGGATGACGACGACGACTTCCTCTGCCTGTTGTTTCCCGCCATCATGTTTCTTGTCGTCCTGAGTGGTGGTGGGTGAGAGATCGAAGAGTGGTTAACAAACACTCGGGAATTGAAGCGTCTTGGCTTCGATGGTTGGAATTTGAAGATCCGGAGGCTGAATATTTATAGCCAGAAGCTACTGGGGCATGCTTAGCGGAAGCGGCCACGGCAGAATCAGATTCACCATTTCAAGTGATTTGGTATGACCAATATTCATGGACCGAACAAGTTGAACAGCTACGGTGGAAAAGACCACATAGACAAGGACAAGGACGAGGACAAGATACTTTAGCCATACTCCATTGGTTTTCGAGTAGCCTCGGAGTTGGTAGAGGGTTCTGTTGCAATAGGCTTTACTTTTTTTCCTCCTCCTCCTCCTCCTTTTCCTTTTCCTCTTTCTGACTACATTTTACTACACCTTCTTCACAGCTCTTTGAACTGAGTAAATATTGTACAAGCTACACACAGATATATTATGATTTGCTTTCTTTTGCCAACCGGGGCAATCATTCTTCTCCTTCCTTCTCCTTTCTCTCATTTGCCAATACTGTTGAATTAAATTCTTACCTTTTTCACCAAAGCACCTCCATTTTTGCACGTTCACACTGCCATTAATTCCGTAACAGTGCAAATTCTAGAACTCTCAGCAAGTACCTGCTTGGATACTTTAAAGCATAAAAAGGTAAAAGTACTGAAAAAATAATCAATCAAAAACACCCAGTATTATAAAGTAAAACAAAAAACATATATATACATAACATTATATGAATGGATGCAAAAATAACTAACTTATTAACTTTGTCCTAACGCATGTTGACTATGCATGTCACATATCAGGCTTTACTTGCGTGGACTAATAAAGAGAAAAAAATATCCACAAAATCATCGATTAGGAGCAAAAATATTCATAACGTTATCAGAGTTGGTACAAAAATAACCAATTCATCAAATTTGTTAAATATTGACTGTTTAGATGACGTTTAAGAAAAAGTTGATGATTTTTTTTAATGTAGATAAAAAATATTTCTATATGAATTTTTATAGAAGTTAATTAATCATCATATAAGTACCTATAATATTACTTTAGTAGGTGCAATGATAACCAATTCGTCAAAGTTTATGCTACTTGATTTTTTTCCACCATCACGTATCCCATCCCCTTTCTTCCTCCCTCTTTGCTCATTTTTCTTGTCTGTAAAATTTGAGATTTAATATAGTGAGATAGATTGTACATAATTGAAGATCAAGATTTAGTATACCTTCTACACTACTTTACTTTAAGAATATTGTCACAGCTTTAAGCAATTTTTATTTGTGATAGGTTCAAAATTTTTAAATAGTTTTCACCGCTACTATAAAAAAACGAGTGATTTAATTTGATACTTGATCAAAATGATGTTTTATCACATGATATTCATATGATGACCGATTAACCTTCAAAGAATTTTATCTAGGAATATTTTTTATCCATGTCAGCAAAACATGGTCAACTTCTGCTTAGATGCTAGCTAAACAATCAACATTTAAGAAATTTGATAGGTTTGTCACATTTGCACCAACTTTGATAACATTATAAGTATTTTCACTCCTGGTCGGTAACTTCATAGGTATTTTTGTCTCTTTATAAACTCACATTAGCAAAGACTGACAATGGCATGCATAGTCAGCATTTAGTGATAAAAGTTAACTGCTTTAAAAAAAAGTTAACAATTTGATCACTTTTGCACCCACTCATGTAACATTGTGGATATTTATACCATTTTTCTCACTTTATGATATTGGGTGTCTCTAGCTAATTACTTTATGAGTATTTTTACTCCTTTACCCTATTTTAAAGGGTACATGCATGGGAATTTTATAAGTTTAATTTTCCCATATGTAGAGATTATATATCTAAAAATTAAAAGATGGATTAAGAATATATAAAATTTAGGATGTGTATCTAACTAAATAATTTAAACTATTTTAGTGAAGTAATCAATTACCCTCAGCCATATACTCAATATAAAGAATTTAATAATTAACAATATGTACCTTATTTTATTGTGGCACTTACCCTGTCGTGTGCTAATTTTAGCATGTGGACACAATTTTACACTCCTCAACACATTATTGTTAACTTGTTTTATTCTGTTTTTATTTATAAGAGAAATTATCATTTTTTACTTTTTTTATATAAGCAAAATCACATATTTCAATAAATATGTATTACATATTTCTTAAATCACCCCTCATAATTTACATTAATAAGAAATAATTAATGCACACTTATGTTGATTAACATAAGACATTTTAATTTAATTTTTTTTTATTTTTAAACATAATTATTATGATTAACTAACTCTTTTAAACTGTGTGATACATTTTTTTTTATATTGAAATGCATGGGATACACACACATGTGCATACACACATACATTCGTGGGGAGCAACTCAAAATTTGGTTCGTGCATATCAGGAGATAGGAAACGTTTCGGAGTTTTTTGGGCTATTTAAAGCAAATTTAAAGTTGATATATATATATATATATATATATATATATTCCTCTTTTTGTTGTAAGGTAGCCGTAGAAGGTCCTGTTGATTGGTGATTGATCAACGGGTTCCTACCTACCAGCTGCAAGAGAAAGGCTTGAAGCACGCCACTTGTTGGATCTTCGTACGAAGATCATGGAGGATCAATCACAAGTGAACATGGGATATGGGACGAGGGTATTGCTTTAGCTGTGTCAAGCTTTTCGGGAATCTTATAAATGTCCCGAAATTAATTTAGTGTTATTAATTAATTTGTAATGAAGAAGGGCCACAGTTTGGCACACCCAACTTAATATTGTGCTCTTAGAGACTTAGACACGGATCTCCATATCTTATTCCTTCCTTCTTCGCATTAAGCACTGATATTTTACGACGGTGAGATGATATTTCCCAGCTGCAATCATATTTAATTAAATTTGAGCTTTTTAAAAGCGGCATATCCATTCAACAGAAGAATATATATACTGCATATATTTTCATACGCTAATTACTTAAACCTCACGCTTTGGTCAGTTCCAGTCTTCCAGAATAATGTCGTCGAAATGCTTGCGTAAAAGTGGTCGTATAGTTTGGCCAATAATTCTGCATGATCAGATGAAAGAAGTAGCTGTCATGTTTTTTGTGTTTAATTATATCTGCTATACAAGCCAATAATGCTGCTCACAGGATCCTATGAAAGCAATTTATGTCTCAGAACTGAAACTTCTCCTTTCAAAGATGGTTACATCTTTGTGATATGTACATATTCTCGACTCTTTAGTCTTCCACCATCGAGAAAACAACACACTTAATGGAAACTTCGCCATTTTTCTTGCCTCGAATTTTCTCTGCCTCGCCAGATTTGGGAAAAGAAAATATACCTCGGGAATTTCCTACAGCTGTAGTGGGAAGAAATTTTGAATTATTTACACCATTATACCGTTACTGCAATTATTAGTCTCCTAAAAAATCTACCAGTTCCTTTTGTGAGGTTATTGTTCAGGCTTTTTTTAGTTATTATAAAGTTTCAAAAAATGTTGGCGAAATTAAATATAACGGCGTCGTAGAATTAAATTTTTTCTATTTATTTTTCTCCAGATCTTATAAAAATCTTGTGGTAAGAAACTTTGAAGAAATAATCGAACTCGATATTTTTAAGGAAGTGAACAAGGTGAACGCGAAAAAGAAAAAAAAAAAAGTTACTTGCACCGCTGGAGAAGGGTATCTAGGTTTCGATATAAAGGTTGTTTTCAAAGCAGTAATTTATTCTTTTTCTTTTCTTCTTTATCTAATGTATCAAAATTTTAAGGATCTTGGAACTATAAACTTTAAAAATATTCTCTGGCAAAGAGGGGGGAAAAACTTCAAAAATATTGGAATCCCAAAAGGAAAGTTACTCCCTCAATCTTATATACTCCTCCTGAACTAAAATTAATTCTAAAAGATGTTTTACAAATAAAATCAAAGAAAATATTTATTAGGTTGAGAGAGATATTTTTTTGTACTATTTACATTAAAATTTTAAAACAAAACATTTTTAAAAGTTGATATATTTAGTTTAATTTTTTTAAATAACAATGGTTGACACAAAAAATAATCATTTGAAGCTAATGATATTAGAATGAGGGGATTAAAAAGATATTTTATAAAATTAAAAGATTAAGTTAAAATTTTATATAAAATTAAAATAGTAAAAATATATTTTTGATGACTTAAACCCTATATCTTTATTGATTTGGGCACATCCCTCCGCTTTTAATCATCTAGATTGATTTGAATGGCTGATAAGCAATAATCCTCTTTTAATTTTGATATTACGAACGCAAAATAGATTTATGGCTAGAAGCATTACCGAACCAAATCCACAAATTTAGCTCCACCCTTTTCATTCATTTTCATTTTCTAAAAAGAACATTTTGCATATCAAACATAGTAACATTTTTTTTTGGGCCTGAAAAAAGCAGTGACATTAATTAAGTAATTATCATTTCGTATTTTTTATCATTATCATTCTATTTCAATTTATACATTGTCAAACATAATATTTAACATGTTTTTAAATAAACCTTAGAAGTTGAATTCCATTTCCTCATGCGCTTAAACTATAAGAATGAAAGATTAACATCTGAAATGATCCACACAGCTAGATCCACTTGACCAACAACAAAGTCATTTGGGCCTTTTCTCATGGGATATTGGCCAACTAGAGTTTTCAATGGGCCAAAAAGTAGCCCAATTCTGGATGGCCCCCCGGACCATTCTTTCATTTCAAGTTTCATTCCAGTTGTCAATCCCCATCCGCCTGCTCCCGCTGGACCGGACGAAAAAGAATTAGACGGGGGCACAACATCCGGACAACGTTGATTTGCCTGAAGAACTGTTGTTAATCAGTCCATTCTACCCCGGAATTATACCCTAACACTCCAATTCTATTTCACCCTCGGCGGTGATAACAGCAGGGGCGTCAAAGCTAGGTAGGGTTTTTGGAATCACATCCTGTTCTTTGCCACCTCTCAATATCCTGTTCTGTGTTTGTAAAATTGAATATTTTCTCTTTTTGATTTAGGCTGATTGGTTTATATTCTGTTGTTGGAGTTTCAAGATGTTTAAGTGCCTCTTGCACTGTGAAGGATCCTGGGATTATGGATCGCTTTAGTTGCTTGGTGTGCTGGGTCTAATATACTCTACTGTATCTAACCCCCCCCCCCAAAAAAAAGCAAAGAAAAAGAAAGAAAGAAAAGGCCGGCAATATTAAATCCCTTAGTATCAATGTTTATCGCGGTTTTATATGGTTGATGCTGCTTATGATGTTCATATACTTAAACTTCTAGAATAGCGAAGTGACCATTATATTTGACTGACTTGAAGAATCTAATACAATATCATTTGGAGCGTTCTTTGTTTTTCTCTTAATTTCTTTCGGCTCTATGATGATAATTATTCCACCCACTGTTACTTCGAAACATGAACAAGGTTTTTGGTCATGTGCTTGCGTCTTATGATCTGTATAGGTTCAATGGATTATCCATGGACCAGTGGTGGGCGGGAAACTGGTACCATTGATAGGAGCCAAATCAGAAAGGGGAAGGTAATTAGACTTAAATTGATTGCAGTACTTATGTGGCTTTCCTCTTATTTACGAGTTAATGCCACTAGATAATTAATTAATATTACTTCTTGCTTTTAATAGTTGATTGTACATGCTGAGTTATTTTTTATTGGCATTTCAGGAATCCTTTATCGAGGATTGGGCAGAGGATTTTCGGTTGCCTATCAATCACAGGCCAACAGAAAATGTTGATCTGGACAATGTTGAACAGGCATCTTTGGACACGCAGTTAACATCGTCTAATATTGGATTTAAGCTACTTCAAAAGATGGGATGGAAAGGAAAGGGTTTGGGGAAGAACGAGCAAGGTTTGTAATTGTATTAGAAAAGAAGCAATCTTGTCGAGCTTCCATATAGTATTTGTTGATGTTGTTGGTTGCTTGTAACCCCTTTCAAATCTAGCCCTTTGAGAAACATCCTCCAGTGCTTTCGTTTTTTTTAAATAAACCCGTTCAAACCTGTAATACTTGGCATATAACCATTCACATCATCTGATTAGTGTCTTGAGGGTGGCCATTCCAGGTGGCCAATAGGAATAAGGTGTGGCCGGAATTTTTTGGATTATGCAATTTTAGTAATCTCACTGTGTGGAACTGGAAAGGCAATGAGGTTCTGGCTTAGCAAGGCACGGGCCTTCAAGATCAATGCAAGAAAAACTATAGGGCTTGTTTGGCAATCTGTTCTAAGAACAGTTTTCTATTCTCAACAAAAGAACAAAAAATTTGTTTGGTAACGTGTTTTTAAAAAGTGTTTTAGAGAACAAAAAAATATATATATATATTGTTCTCGAGAGCAGAAAAATGGAATCAACTTTCAAGTGTTTTGGGATTATTGTTTTGGAAAACAAGGAAAAATGAAAAAAAAAACCTCTATTTTCATTATTTTTTTATTCTCAGAATATGTTTTACAAAACACTAGTTCTCAGAACAATAAAATAAAAACAGTTTTAAACAGCCCCTATAATTCTCTCCAATTATACTTGTTTTTAAAGTATGGGCACCTTCTCTCTTAAGGCCCTAAATATTTAATTACCTGTCTCTGGGCTTTGATCTTTCTATAACTGAACCTTTTGTGAAATAGTTCTTTCTTTCTTTCTTTCCTGTACTACAATTTTGTATTTTCTTGAATGCAGAATGTTTTGCCTGAAGTATGAAATTGATGGATGTTCTCCTCGATTTCAAATTCTTTAACCAAGTTTTCATCTTGTGCCTCTGGATTTATGTGCAGGAATTATTGAGCCAATAAAATCTGGTATTAGAGATCCCAGATTGGGTGTGGGTAAACAAGAAGAAGATGATTTTTTCACTGCTGAAGAAAACGTCCAGCGAAAGAAACTTGATATCGAGCTGGAGGAGACAGAAGAAAATATGAGGAAGCGAGAGGTATGATTAAGAAATTTTTAGCAGTTGCCTTAAATTCTAAAATCATGAAGTAGTATTGAGGTTGATGTTTTCCATTTTCTGGAACCTCCACCTAATAGCAGAAGGCAGCATATAGCACATATGCATGTCTTTTGATGGGATTGGTGTGTCTTAGGGAACCATCAACTTTGGAAGGTCTTGAGAATTTCCTGCAGTTTTTATTACCTGGTGGCTTCTTCTGCCTGTCTCGTGCGCATTATGAAAATCCAGGTTTTGGCAGAACGTGAGCAAAAAATTCAAACTGAAGTCAAAGAAATTCGGAAGGTGTTTTTTTGTGATCTCTGCAACAAGCAATACAAATTGGCCATGGAATTTGAAGCTCACTTGAGCTCATACGATCACAATCACAGAAAGGTAGATGATTTGACTGACTGGGTGACTTTACATCAAGGCTCCTTTTTCATCCTTCTAAACATCCTTAATGATAATTACAGCGTTTCAAAGAAATGAAGGACATGCATGGAAGTAGTAGCCGTGATGATCGGCAAAAAAGAGAACAGCAGCGTCAAGAGAGAGAAATGGCTAAGTTTGCCCAAATGTATCCTCGTGCTTATGCACCTCTAATCTTGTTTGGTCTTTGTTACAATATAATTTTGAATCCTTGCATCTTGCTTGCGTTTTATTATAGGTCTCTGTACTTTTTTTTAGGTGTTCTAGATCCGTACACTTTTGTTTTTGGGTATTAGCTCCACATTGAAAAATAAAAGTATAAGGACCTAGAACATTGGGAAAAGAAAAAAGTGCAGGGACATATAGCAAAATGCAAAAATCTAAAGTTATGTTTTTCTAAAATATATTTCCCTTATCGTGGCTGTTGTGGATAGTTGGCTAGAGAAATATTGTTATGATCTTGGCCACCTTTTGACGTCATCTTGTTTTTTCTTGGATCCTTTAATATTAACCAGGGCTGATGCTCAAAAGCAGCAACAGCTTCAACAGCAACACGAAGAATCTGGATCTGCTCCAGTTTCCTCCGAATCTAGAACTGCTACTGCACTTGCAGATCAGGATCAGCGGAAGACTTTGAAGTTTGGGTTTTCCTCCAAGGGAAGTGCTTCCAAGGTATGCCAGAGTGAACTATGGATGAATGCATAGTTTTTTTGCCATGCCCAAATGCATCTGGGTGACTGCTTTGGGATGGCTTTCAGTCACAGTTGACTTCTGTCCTGATGCTGACGTAGATATTCATGGAACTGATTAATTATACAGTCAATGCTTGTAGCCTTGTTACGTTCCGGTCAAAACAATTTCAGCCTTGCTAATTCATTTGATGTTACCATGCTAAGTGCTAGTTTCTTCCTCATTTCTTGCAGAACTCATTCGGCGGCGCTGCAAAGAAGCAAAAAGTGGCCATATCTTCTATATTCAATACCGATGCGGATGAAGAATAATGGAAAATTTTCTTGCAGCTGTGATTCGGCCTTGTATCATTAATCGTGAGTTGTTTGATGCGTATTTATGCGACTCTCAAGTTTGAACCATTATGATCCTGTTAGATCTCATCTTGGGATTTTATGATTTGGTGACGTTGTGAGCCTGTGATTAAATCTGATGGGAAAAATTGTTTGTGTCGAATTAGTGATCGTCATGAGTTTCAATTTTGATTCCACGGGTTGGAAGCCTCTCACTGACACACACTCTCGTTTCCACCAGGGCTTTTTCGTCTTTGACCAACAACACACGGCATCATTATCCTAACACAAAAAAAGGCCAGGCATTGTATCATGTAACATTTTTTAAATTTTAAACTCGTCACATATTTCATTGATGACTTGTTTCAAATTTTTTTATTCTTTAATATTTTTCATATATGTCAATACAATTAAAATTTTGAAATAATTCATTGCTTTTTTTTTTTATTTTTTTTGCAATATTATTCCCTTCGATTCTCAATATTTTTCGGATTGATTCTTAATCGCCACTCTGATGGGTTTGTGCAAGCATTCAACCACCCTCCAGTACAGATTAATATATAAAAGAAAGTAACACAACAACTTGTATAAATAGATCTTAAACTAATTACGCAATTTCTACCAGTAATAACATTTTCTTTTTTTAATTAAAACTCACGGGAGTTTGTCTGCCTTGAACGAAAGTTGCTCTAGACAGCTTTTGCAAAGCCCACTTGCAGGTTCCCATAATCAAAGATAGTATGATAAGCCCTCATGAAAACATCGCCAAGGATCCTGTGTTCAGACAAGGTTGCTTCAGAAAAAGGTACGCATACCTTAAACGAACAGGTGTGTGCGTGTATATTTGTAGTTCGTTACATGCAAGGTTGTTCTGCCCTAGGACACTTGCATATTAGAACTGTAAGTACAAGTAGCCTTGATATAAATGAAGGTAGCGTACCAGAGAGGACCATAAGGAGGGGGAATATCAAAAGATGCAAACCCACTGAGGCAGATTGCCGCAACGCCTTGTCCACTTCTCAGAATATACTGTAAAAACAGCGAAGCATTTTTCACTACATACATTATATGCCTTGAAAATTAACAAATGAAATAACAAGGTTTCACATGACATCTTGCTCTGGACTTGGAAGCCTAATGTTCTTCCTCGGGACACATTTCCTACTATAGAGTACGGACCACTGCATGAAACATACAGTTGTCTCCCGCAACGATGCAGCATGATTTCACACGTCACACAGGAAACATGATGAAACAAACATGAATTGATCAAAGTTCAAAACAAACCTGCTGTGGAGTGAGGTTGAAAAGTTCATCTCCGATTGTTAGTGAGATGTTCGGCATCTGAGAAATACTCTCACAACTTACTGTGGATTCTCCACTAGGACTTGGCAATCTTTCACATAACTGCCAGTGACCAAAGGCAATACTCAGTCACTTGACAGCCTAAAGCTATAATGCAGCTCGGGCTTCTAGAGAGGTTGATTGTAAAAAAAGATCACCTGATTTATGTAGTTGATTACTTTTTCCTTGACTGCCTTTCGTTTTAGTTGATTCTGGATCCAAACGACAGCCATCTCACACAAAGAACACGTGTTATTGTCTCTAGCTGACAGCCCCTCTCTTTCTGTTGTTTCAGTCACCATCTCAATCCCAGTGCTGCTAGAATAGAACATTAGTAAATTTTGTAGAGTAAGAAACTCAAGCTAGTCTCACCGTTTCTATTGATTCAGTAATGGAAGTTCCACGACAAATACTTTTGCAGAAAATTATATCTTTTTTCTATATGTGACCAGTCTGAGAATGGATAACTTTGACAAGAAATCAAAATGTAAGATGATGTAATATAAAGCTAATTAAAAAAAAATTCCTAACCTCTTAGATCGATCCCCATACGTAGAGCATAAACTAAGATGGGAACATACTTCATCAGGGTCCACCTGCAAATTAAGATCAAAAGAATTTAGGGTCCAAGAAGCAAAATGTCACAGCTTGAAGAAGGCATGGACAGAATCTTCAAATGAGGGTGGAAGGGCATACCCCTGAGACAAGTAGATCCCATATCTTGTCTGCAAATTGAGAAGCTAGTTCCTTACATTCTGAACTAAAAATTCCTTCAGCTCCAATGGCATGGTTGATTTCAGCCACAACTGACTGAAATTGATAAGCAGTTAACTACCGAGAGAGAAGCTAGAAGCAAAACATTTTCAGAGAGATGAAAGCACATACGGTTGGACCAGCAAGCAAAGATGCTCCTGAATCCACAATTGCAGCACATCCACCCTCGCACACACCTTAGGAATTATAAATTATGGTCATTGTTATCAAAGCTAATGGTGACAAACAAAACTAGTTGTAAAGAAATACGAGTTTTCTAAGAGAAAATAAAATAAGAAAAATTACATTTAAGTTTCACATAAAAAAATTTATTATTAAAAAATCTCATAAAATTTATAAAATACTCTTAAGTCTCAAATCTTAGGTACTTGCAACTTGATTAAAGACATTGATAATGGAGTAATGATCATTTATAACTTGTCTATGGCCTTAAACAAGTTATAAATGCACAGGATTTGAGACTTGGGATTGTTTTGTAAATTTTATGGGACCTCTTCGTAATAAATTTCCTTACATAGGACTTGAATGTAATTTTTCCAATAACATATGATATTAAACAAAAGAAGTTGGTATGGGAAAAATAAAATCTCATGCTTTTCTTCATACCATATGATTTCAAACCTTTTAAGATTTCTTTGTTAATCCCCTATGCAAAAATTTCTTGCAGTTGAAAATGTCTTTACCTGTCGAAAGACCTCCAATGAGAAAATCTCTTATTTCAATCTGGAAAAGCAATAGATTCGTGTTCAAATTTTTTGAATTTTTCTTTTTCACAAATTGAATAGAATTCCTGGTCAAAGTGAATCTAGTTTTGCATTTGCCTACCTGCCAATAACCTTTTCTAGTAACTGGAACATAAGTATGTTTTCCTTTGAAATGATTTGGATCAACACCGCCAAATACAACTTCACCACCCTCTTCTACCTCCGGATCCACATTGAGCCAAAAAGAGAACACCTTCTCGCCAACAAGATCTTGCTTCACCATATTGTACCTGTGATTTGAAAATGGATCAGTAATTTCAAGGAAAAATCAGATGCAAAGGAAAAACCAAAATACAAGCTGAAGCATACCAAACTGGCACTGCTTGCTCAACTGAGATTTCCTGAAACCCAAGTCCAAATATCCCATCAAACTCAAGGAGTGCAAAGGAAAGACTTTCCTCTCGAGTAGCCTCGATGAAATCCTGCATTCAGCAGGTTAACATGATAGCCTCGGTGAAAACCAAGTCCATGTATTGCCGCAGATTGTGGTCAGAACAACCTATACAGTCCTTTTTCAAGTGAGTTATAAATAAAGTACTCACTTGATGCTTTACGACCACATCACCAACTTCAACGTTGTCTTGACTGAAAAATCCAAATATTGATCCTGTCCCATATTGTATTTCACATGATGTTCCTGATTGACAAGTTAACATGAATGGTTCGAAACTTCAAACCTTTTATTATTTGGCATGCACGATGCTACCTTACTGCTTCCACTATTAAATCTGATCTAGCATGATGGCTGGCACTAATTATGATAAACTGGCATGAATACAATAACGTTACCATTCTTAGTGTATGTACTGGATTTGCTAGACTTGTACCAAGAATGGACATAACAGGCAATCTGCACATGAATTTTATTGGTTAATGAAAGACTCATATGGATATGGTTATGGATATCAAGTGGGATATGAACTTACTGATAAATAGCACCATGATGAAGGAACCCAAAGGTTGGAACTACCAGTATCAAATATGACAGTGAAGGTCTGGGGGGGTGTGCCTATTCCAATCTCTCCATAATATATCACATCCACATAATTCTTCAGAGGTAGTATATCTTCATCATGTGAGTTACTAATAAACTGATACAAATCCTTCACCGGTCTTCCGAGCCTCAGTTCTTCCCTTGCAGCTCTTGCAGCCCGAATTCTTTGAAGGTCAAGAGGTCTCTTCTTTAAACCAATTCTTAGAATCCCAAACGAGAAAGAAGGAAGAAGTGAGCATGTTAAAGCCAATAAACAAAAAGCTGTCCACAGATGCTTGGAGCTCATAATGAAGAGAAACCCTGCCAGAAAGGAGAATCAGAAAGTTCGATGAGCAAAATCAGAAGACAAGCAAAACAACCATGAATGAGGGGTGAAGGATTGATTCGAAGTCATTTGTTATGGTGATCAAGAACTCTACAGGATCCTTACACTACAGTAATCAATATTAACATATATTAGGTTAGGGATAAATTAAAGAGATCCTAGTTCAGCAGCTCTGGATACTGATTTCCTCATACCCCTTCTTTCTAGTTGATTTATGTTTTTCTCCCCCAAGTAAGCTATGTTAAAACTTTTTTAATCCATGCATGCAAAATTACACGGAGATCAGTAGCTGCTGTTCTAAACAGTGTCAGTTCATTCCACACTCCTTTTTTTCCCCCTCCAAATGATGCAGTTTATTCTAATCTTATCAAATTAATCTACCAAACGTTTTTTAAAAATCAACAGAAACGATAGAAACCTATAGCCATAAATATTCGTATAGGTGCATCCACAAGAAGAATAAGAATAAGAAGAAATTTATACAGGAACGTGAAACAAACCAAATTTTCAAGAAAAACAAAATCAACAGAGTTTGAGGCAGGAAAGTGATGGTATTAAAGGAGAAACATGGAACCTTTCTGGGGGAAGATGATATCAAACTTGGTTAAAGTCAGTATGAACTGTGATGATCATAATCATGTGACAAAGATGATAAAGATTCAGGGGAGAAAATAGAACCTTTCTTGGGGAGATGTCACTATAGACGCTGGAAAAGTTAATGCAGTGGACTTTGGCTTAGTCAAACAAACAAAGAATGACATTTACGTCCTAAAAAAATCAATTTAACAATGTTTAAGTTTCGCAAAAAATTATTAAAAATTGAGTTGGAAATATAGAAGGAGACAATTACAATTTAAGAATTATAGTTACAAATTGAATATTTTGTAATTAAAATATTTTTATTTATAATTATCTTGAACAAATATTTGCTACTCATTTTTTCAGTAAATTTTTTAAAATCTGTCATTAAATAATATTTTAGGATCTAAAATGTCATTTTTCTCCAAACACCAAACATTACAATACGTACGTATCAATAGGAGAAGGGAAAGGCCTGTAGAAAGCCCCACTTCTACAAAGTAAAACAAAGCACTACGAGACATGATAGGACTAGAAAAATATCCCAGGCTACTAGGCTTTTTCTAACTTTGACTTTGTGCATGTAAACGATGTCATTGATGTCGTTCGACATGGATTTTTGAACAATTTACTTAAGATTGGAAGCATAAATTATAAATTTTTTAT